ATTTTACTTGCATATGATCTTAGTCATATTACTAAGTAATTTCCACATTCTGTTGGGTCACCTATATTTGAAATGAAAATAAATTCAAATCTCTTTCAATCAGTTTACCAGGTAGCTATCTTCCAAATTTCTATTATTTTTCTTTTCTCATTACTATTGTATTTTATTTACAAAATTTGAATACATTGTTTCTCACACCAGTTCCTTCCCATTTCCCTAAACCACCCCCATCAAATTGTGTGACCCCATGATTACTCCCCCTACATCCCACCCATCCTCACTGCTCTGCTTCCACCCCTCCTTGGATCCTCATACTCATTCTACAATAATGGTTTGGTACAGTATTTGTCTTTATGAGTTAGTTCATAATGTTCATAATGCATAATGCTCTCCAGTACCTCTCAAGTTAGGTATAATTTAGAAAATTATTGTTCTGCATGCTGCATAGGATTATTCCATTGTGTGAATGTACCAAAACTTCTCAAATCCATTCCAATGTGGTTGGACATCTGAGTTATTTCCATGTTCTTGCAGTGGTGAATCACACTGCTGTGAACATTGGTGTACAAGCCTCCATTTGTGACTCAGTTCTCATTGTCTCAGAGTATATTCCAAGCAGTTCTTCCAAATTTCTTGACATAGAAGAGCATGTCCAGGGCTGCATTTATTAGCTGCAACATCTCGGTTGGTATTCTCTCCATTCCTGGAGTCTTATTTTTCATCAGTCCTTCAGTGAAATGTGGACTTTTTCCTTCAGTAGCATTGGCTCTTGGTGCTGTCATGATGGAGGTGGTTGTTATATACTGTCAAACCCACTGTGACTCATAGCAACCCAGGGAACAATGGCTCTGAACCTTGCCCTGTCCTGAGCTAACCTCACTGTTTCTGACACACCTGGCCCCATAGCCATCACTATATGATCTTAGCCAACTCTTCTAGTGATAACATGTCTACCATTTGTGCTGGACAAGTGACTTGCAAGGTACTTTCCCATTCAGGCAGATTCAGTAATATTTATAAAGCACATGCTGTGTGCCAGGGATGGGCAAGATGCTTTAATACACACTGGCTACAACACTAATTTTAAGTAATCTAGAGTCCATGAGACATTGATCCTATGAAACTGAAGACTTCTTTGAGGAGTTGATGCTGTACTGAGTCCTAAAGCTGAAAGAGGCATTAGACATGTGAAGACTGGAAGGAGGCATGAGGGAAGGCAGAAACAAAGCCATGAGCAAGTTAGGCAGAAAGAACTTCCTAAACCAACCCCTGTAGCAGACAGAAATAGGGCCTTGGCACATGAGGCTGGAACAGCTGGCAAGAGCTAAGTTGTAAGAGCTGAAAAAGAAGTGGATCATGCAAGACTGTATTTAGTACAGTAGGAACCAAGTGAAGAATTTGATATAAGTAACAGAACCTTGAGTATGCACCATCTGAATTTGGAGACCACCTTCAAAATAACTGGTGCCCTGAACTCTAAGGACCACAGGCCAGATGAAGTGTGGGATAACAAAGGGCATAAAATTAATTTTGGATCGTTGCATTGATCCTTACTGGTAATTGGAATGAGAAAGTGGGGGAAAAACAAAGAGTCAGTAGTTGGAAAATGGGGTATTGGTAATAGAATAAATGCCACAGATCACATGATAGAGTTTTCCATATATATGTATACACACACACACACACACACATACACACACACACACGGGGCTCCTCAGATGGATTACACAGGAATCAAATACAATCAAAATTACATTTGTGTGAAGAAACAATAGGGAAGCTCTTCCTACTCAGTTAAGACAAATCTAGAAGCTGACTCTGGAACACACCATTTGTTCATGTGCAAGTTCACATTGAAGCGGAAGAAAATCAAACCCATGAGAGACAAATCACAGCCTAGAATAGAATTTAGAGACTGTCACAAGAATAGGCTTGATGCCCTTAGCATGAATGACTAGAGACCACAAAAGTTATGGAATGACATCTGTCATCCTACAAGAAGAAGGTAAAAAGTCACTAAGACAGGAAAGAAGGAAAAGACCGAAACTGATGACAAAAGAGCTAAAAACGTGTGATTGATACTCTCAAAACTCATTGCTTTTGAGTCGAAACTGACTCATATCTGACCCTCCAGCTGGTTTTCAGAGGCTATACAACGCACAAGAGGAGATTGTCCATCCAGAGTTAACAGAAAAGGAATGAAAGGAAGGAATAGATTTTGAAGGCTGAGTTGAAGGAGAGGGATACAATAAGAATCCAGGGGTAGCTTGAGAAGAGATGGTGCAGAAATATGCAGACTTGGCATTAGAAAACCAAACAGGACAGACACAGCACTCTTTAAACAGAAAGAAAAACCAAGCCTCAAAATGGAACACTGGAGGATTCTTTGTGGGGAAAAAAAATTAAAATGGCACAGGAGACATCAAATGATAGAAGGAACGTATGAAGTTGCTGTAATGATATGAATTGGTTAGCATTCATCCTTTTCAGGAAGTGGTATATGATCAAGAACTACTGGTATTGAAGGGAAAAGTCAGGCTTCACTGAAGGCATTGGTGAAAGACAGGGGCCCTGAATCTACAGGATGTGCACTATTCTAGGCTCTTCTTTCTCGATGGTAGCACTTCATTGCCTGGTGCTGTGTGGGGACTAGTGACATAGGGATGAATAAGGCAAGTAAGCTTCCTGACATCCAGGAACTCTTATCCATGAAATGCAGTTAGACAAAATCTTTCCTGCATATGAGGATCAACTCAACTCATTGCTGTCGAATCAGAAGCTACATACAGCTGACCCTCCAGCGAGTTTTCAAAGGCAGTAAATCACATGAGAGGAGATTGCCCATTTTTCTCCCATGGAGCAGCTGGTGGATTCAAAACGCCTGCCTTTGAGATTGCAGTGCAACTTCTTACCACTAGGTCACCAGAACTCCCTGCATGTGGGGATACTGTCCCCCATATCTAGAATAGATCTCTTAGGTACCAAGCTTAGATCTCCCTGCAAATATAGAACTATTTACATTGATTAAAGAATATAGGAAAGGAGAAGTGTTTATTGCAGCAATTCTCATAATAACAAAATAGTACACCCAGGGACATTGGGTGTCTAGGCAGCAGTTAGTGAACTGGAATAATGTTTATCAGTTTGTGTGTCTCAAAAACATTTAAATACAAGTTACAAAATCATTAGTATACTAGTGTACAGGAAGAAAAACACAATATTACACAATCCCAGTATAATATATTGTTGTTAGTTGCTGTCAACAACATTTTACAGCGACCCTCTGAACAACAGATAGGAACTATGCCCTATTCTGTACCATCTTTACCTTCTCTGTTTTTCTGACCTTCCACCTTTTCCAGTACATCTTTTTTTCAAGGACTGGTCTCCTGACAGCATGCCCAAAGTGTGGGAGACAAAGTCCGCTATCCTTGCCTCTAAGGCGCACCTCCTCTAGGCCAGGCTTGTTTGTTCCTGAGATATTCAGTAGTTTTCTCCAACATCACAATTCAAAGGGATCGATTCTCCCTCAGTCTTATTATTTATTGTCTAGCTTTCAGGTGCATAGGAAGGAGGCAATTGAAAATATGCTAGCTTTGTTCAAGCACACCTTAGTCTTTAAAGTGGCAGCTTTGCTCTTTAGCACTTTGGAAAGATCTTTGACTACAGATTTCCCCAGTGCAATACATCTTTCAGTTTCTTGATGCTTCTACAAGTATAATATGTTATCGTTTCTCTGTACTGTCGAGTTGTAGGCTAGTACCCATTCTCTCACAGAGCACCACCTGGTGGATTCCAACCATGTGCCTTTGGGAGCCACTACAAAACCAAAATGTAATATAATATCTCCTGGGTAAAAATTTTAAATCTTCCAGAATATGGATGTCCTATCATGGGCATATTCATACATAATAAAAATGTAAAATATTTCAAGAAATGACCACACAACAATTTGAGGTAATTTTGACACACCAACTTGTAGTTTTTAACATACCTTGTTGAACTAAAAATACTTCACAAAGGTGGCAAAATGTAGCCACTTTTAAATCTTTTCAGAGAGTTCCAGTGGCCTAGTGCCACAGAGCTGATTTGCCAATCCCAGGGTATGTGGTTTGAATCCATTAGCTGCTCTGTGGAGAAAGATAGGCAATCTCTTCCTGTGCAGTTTACTGCCTCTGAAAACCTACCAGAGGATCATCAATGAATTGATTCCTTCCTGACTGTACCCACTAACAACAGCAAAGCTTTTCAGTGCATGGTTATCGCATTTTAGTGTTTTTTTTTTAATAGAGTTTAATCATTAAAAATGGAAAAATATATTTTATATTTTAATATATGCAACTTTCTATATTCTGTACTTTAAGCTGGAATTCTCTACCTTATTCTTTTGTTTTGTTTTGTTTCTTAATGTATGCATCTAAAGAAACAATTGAATTGCAGATACCTTATGGCCAGACAGATCTGGGGATGGGGTGGGCCTCAGAACCAGTGGAGGGTCAGTATGAGTTGCAGTAGACTAGAGGGCACTGGGTTTGATGAGTAGGCCAGTTTCCTCTCAGCAACTAGTAAAAAAAATGGCAACTCACATCTACCTAGCTGTGATGCAGGTGAAAATCCTGGTGTGAACACTGTATCAATCAAGAGTCTGATCAGCAGCCATTGTGACTGTGGACCAAAGTAGGTTGATGTGAGCTGACATATTTTCATTTGCCAGCAGAGGGCACTACTCCATAACTCATAACTTATTATATAGTGCTCTGATCTGCCCATCGGGAGGGACAAGAGTCCTTGTTGTGTGCTGCTGTCTCCCAGCTTGTAGGAGGGTCCATAGAATCAACCCACTCGGTTATTTACAAATGATGCACTTCCCTGAATAGTCATTTTCTTGGCTGTGTCAGAGCTACAAATACAGATTCTGCTCAGGATAGTGTATGCCTGCAAGCATGTATGGGAACTTTCTGATGTAAAACTCATCAGGAGATGGTCCTTTTTCATTCTAGGTGGAAAAAGACTACTCTTACTTGAAGGAGATATGTGATCATCAAGCAGAACAGCTGAGCAGAACAAGCCTGCAGCTGCAAGAGAAAGCATCAGAGAGCGACGCAGAGATAAAGGACATGAAGGAAACCATCTTCGAGTTGGAAGATCAGGTGGAACAGCATCGAGCAGTCAAACTGCATAATAACCAGATCATTAGTGAACTAGAAAGTAAGTGAAACCAGGACCCTGTGCAGTGGGGAACTGGCTGTGGAACTGATTCTGAAAGGGGGTCTGAGCGAGCACTGGGGCTGTGATTTAGGGAAATTCTTACTTCCAGTTTTCCTTATAGTCTTTTAGGAAAGATAGCACTCAAAAAATAGAGAATAAGTCTCTTAAATTAATTTAATAACTCTTATTGCCACCAAGTCAGAATTTTCTGGCAGGTTTCTGAGGATGTTCATCGCACGGGAGGAGATTGTCTGTCTTTCTCCCTCAAAACCGCTGGTGGTTAGAGCTGCCAAAGAAGTGTGGCCTTGAGGTTAGCACTGTATCACCAGAGTTCCCTAAAAACTGCCCGGCATAGGAAACGAGGAAGGAAGTATCGAGAGATGTCACAAGGTGAGCATGAGCAAGCCATGGAGGGCACTTGTAAAAAACAGCAGATACATTTGGAGTGTCCTTTGTATGAGCCATGCAGCTCCGATAAGACGCTCAAGACGTTAGGCCTGTCTATAAAACCTGGTCTCGTTTGAGGCAGTGTGTTAAGATGTTCAGTTTTAACGTTTTAGTATTTCACATGAATTCTGTCTAAGGATGGACAAAGAGTTGTACCCAGTGTTAGGAAGTTTGAATCCACCAGCTGCTCCTTGTGAGAAAGATAAGCTTCCCATGCTATTTACAGCTTCTGAAAACCTGCTAGAGGGTCAGCTATGGGCAGGTTCCGACTTAAAGGCAATGACTGACTTTCCTGGGGATGTTGATTTTGTTGTTGTGTGCCATCAAGTTGGAACCGACTCATAGCTGACCCTCCAGTGTTTTTTCAGAGACAGTTAATCACATGGGGAGAGATTGCCCATCCTTCTCCCACGGAGCAGTGGGTGGGATTTGAGCTGCATGCCTTTAGGATTGCAGTGCAGCTTCCTACCACTACTACACCAGAGCGCCCTGGTTATTAGAGGTTTGTTCAGAATAAAGTGTTCACTGCAGTACTGTGGCTTGATTGTTAAGTGCTTGACTGCTAACAGAAAGAATAGTGGTTCAGACTCATCCATAAATGTTTCAACCTAGGAAATCCTGTGGACAGCTTTGCTTTGTCACATGGGTTCACTGTGAGTCAACAGCACATGGCAACATACTCATCAAGTACTGAAAATGTGTCTTCTGGATCTGAAAAATGGAAAGACAGGTGACAGACAACAGACTGATAGATGCCATGTGTGCTGTTGGTCTTAGGGAGAAAATATTTCCAGCATGTGCCCTATTGACATGAAAGATATCACATAACATACAGACTCTGACCACTTCATGGTGACCAGGCATCAGTAAGTGGCTTATTGACAGGCCCATTGCTTGACTTGACTAACACACTGCCATTGAGTCAGTGCATGACTCCACCAGATTCCCTTGAATTTGAATAAGGAAATGATTTTTTTTTCCTCAAGGATTTAAACATTGCCTGCTTTGTTCAGATAAACCTCATTGAGCACATAAGGCTTAAATAAAGATTCAGTTATAACTAAAAAAAAAAAAACCCAACAAAAACCACCTCGTTATGTTATCTAATCCATTTTACTTTAAAACTTAATTAAAAAGGAAAATTAATGCACATAACTTATAGAATTACTGTTGGTGGTGGTGGTGTGTGCTGTTGAATTGGAACCAACCCATAGCTGACCCTTTGGGGGTTTTCAGAAGCTATAAATTGTGTGGGAGGAGATTGCCCATTCTTCTCCCACAGAGCAACTTGTGGATTTGAACCCCATGCCTTTGGGGTTACAGCACAGCTTCTTACCACTAGGCCACCAGAGCTTCCTAGTCATTACCAAAAGTGGCTTAGTCTGCTGCATGTGAAGTTTCCTGACACATATGTTCTGTGCTTTAACTGGTTGACACTAGAGTTGCTGGTCCTGTTGTGAGCTTTGTGAGCAGTGACGTGTGGAAGACCTATAGAGTTCTGACCCTCAGTTTCAGCGTCTTCCAGGCCCTTCTCAGTGAGGATGCGGCCGTAACCCAGAGACCATTGTTGGTATGGAAATCACACATGGCATCAAACTCAAAAGAGAGTAAACTTGAAGAGGAAAAGACCCCATTTTTTCCTGTTTCGTTTTAGTAATATCTTGCTCTTCAGAATTTGGTTATGTTGTCCCCAAATTCTTGAAAATACAGGTACATCAACAATGCCAACATAGAATCATTTTCCAGAGCAAATTTTAGGTCTGCTCCTTGTGGTTTTTCTGTTAGGGATATTAAAGCATGATAATAATATTGACTATTAAGGGATATTAAAGTATGATAATAATCATTTTATCTTACTGGAGAAAGAAAGCCTTTTATTTAGATAATCCAGAGATGTAAAAATCCTGCCCTAGACCAATCACTCCTTTCTATAAGATCTTTGAGAGAAATGGCTAGAAGTTAAGGAGTGTTTTCCAGGTCTATAACATTGACTCCAAGCACAATCCCACTAACCCACCTGCTGAGTTGGGACCACTGGGTAGGATCACATATATTTTTTAAAAGCTCTGTCATGATGCTGATTCATATCCTAGGTATACAGCTACCATTTAGGACAGACTATGAGGGACCATGGAAGAATTTTAACTCTTCAAATTACATGACCTGGCTTCAATTTAAATGACTGCAGTGGCAAGATGGAGGGCAATTGAAGAGTGAGACAGGCAATGAATATAAGAGGCAGATGAGGTTCTTAACCAGGAAGAAATTATTAAATGCTCAGTTATTAGCCAGAAGGTTGGGGCTTCAAACTTACCCAGAGGTACCTCCTGGGACAGCTCTGGCAGTCCACTTGGAAAGATTGAGGTCTTGGAACCCGTGTTCAGCAGTCCGCTCTGCACACACTGGTCATCATGAGTCAGAATCCACGTGTTAACGAAGCACAGCTTCAGGTCAGCTGTGAAGGCTTTTAAATATATCAGACTTGTCTAACTTGTAAATCTTCGCAGGTGATTGCACTGTTTTAAAAACTAACCCCTCTAGATACTGGTCTAAAGAATACAGGTGTAATCAACAGTCTTATTTCTACCCTATGAAAGCCTAGCCTTCTACTGCACAACAAAGAGAGGATAGTCAGGAAGGTAGTGTGTGGTAGGGAGGCCAGGAGAACTCAAGGGCTAGGAGGGCTCTTTTCCAGTGATGCATGATTGTATGACTTATCATCTAGGATAGAACCTAAATGGTGCCATTTATTTTTCAAATCACCTAGCCCCCAGTGTTCAGAGTGTTCAAAGTTAGAGTTTACAGTAGAATTAATAACTTTTAAAGCCCATAGAAATATCCAAGGCCAATTCTTTTCTGACTCACTTACCTTCTTCCCAGTCTTACAACTTTTGTCTGGTTTATGTGTTTCTAGGTAACGTACTGAAGCTGGAGGAGCAGAAGTCAGACTTGGAGAGACAGCTGAAGACCCTGACGAAGCAGATAAAGGTGAGCTGTGGATTGGAGTGTCAGTGACCCTCCCAGCTCAGGGCTAGGAACCTGATTCTAGTCTGCTCTCTCCTGGCACCTTCCTCATCTGAGGCCCTGGAGCCCTAAATGAGTCTTGGCAGTTCAGTTTTAGAATGGAGAGCTCCGATAGCACTAAGGCGGAGTTCCTATCTCTGCCTTTTTCTAGAAGTGAGTCAGCATGAAAGTGCTGCCCCACTGAGTTCTTCCTTGGGAGTCAGCAGCACTGGGGAATGGGGAGCCCACCTGGTGGTCTGGGTGCCATCACTGGCAGGCACCCACCTGATGATGTTGGATCTGGGTTTCCAGGAGGACACTGAGGAGTGGAGGCGGTTCCAGGCAGACCTGCAGACTGCGGTGGTGGTGGCCAACGACATCAAGTGCGAGGCTCAGCAGGAGCTGCGCACAGTGAAGAGGAGACTGCTGGAGGAGGAGGAAAAGAACGTGAGGCTGCAGAGGGAGCTGGGCAGCCGGCAGAACCACAGCAGGTGGGCCGTGTGCGGGGCTGCAGTGTGGGACGCACATGGGCACCCAACGATGCTGGCTGCTCACTTAACCACTGTGCATGGGGCTTCAGTGTCTGGAGATGTGATGCTTTTATGTCTCTGTGCCCAGTGTCTTTGCTAGGCTCACACTGCCACACAGCCTAAGGTCCCAGTGCTTGACCAATGCCATCCCAGGATGGAAAAACTCTTCCTTTTCTTATGTGGATCAGTTCCTGCCTAGTCTCTGCATAGATTTAAGGGATAGAATGAGTGTCAAGGCTGTTCCTGAAGGCTCAGCATTGACCAGTGTAAGGAAACAGCTGCACCAGCAGGCTGCAGCACCCCTGCATTAGCAGCTCTTCTGTAGTGGTTTGGAAAGCTCCGTTTGCCACCAGATGGAGGACCAGTTAGTTACTCCTTCTAACTTGCTTCTTTGTCGGCAACACCTAGGAGCTATTTCAAAGCCCTGAAACACCTCACGCTCTTATGTATGACTTTCTCTTCTCTTCTTGAAAGAGGAAATCACAGGTCTTTAGCACCGAAAACCATACTGAAATGAACTTTAAGAAGAAGGGATTCGTAAAGTTGAGAGTCCCTGCAGGATGCAGATAGCTGCTGTGCTCAGCCACTAACTGCAAGTGTGGACGTTGGAGAGACCTTGGGAAGAAGTCTCGTGGTTTACTTCAGAAAAGTCCCTCATAGAGAGCTGTACAGAGCATGCCTGCAGCTGCCAGGAATTCAGGCCATCGTGACGGCAGCTGTTACTAGCGTTCTTAAGATGAGCTGAAGGTTCATGATTAAAATTTAAATAGTTTACAAGTAAGGTTTTAGACAGCACTTCAGGCTATCGCTAATGCAGGTTTACCTTTCTCTAGTCAAGAGCCAATGTCCTCAACTTTGAGATTCTTGTGTGTTAGGGAATGATTTTGAATTTTCATATATCTTACAGGTTTTCTAAAATGTAGTCTTTTAAAATCAGATTTAGTGGGTTCTAAATACTTAGTTTGTATAATATTTCCTTTTTGCTTATTTTTAAGGTTGTTTGTTGTCTAGATTGCTAGCTGTTGGGTCCATAATGTTATAGTGGTTTTCATAACATTAGAAAGAGTAGATTGCTTCTTGAGATTCTGTTTTGATTCTTTTATCAAACGTGCTCCTAGCAATCTCTTATTCTCTTGTTCTTCTCTGGTGACACCGTCTGTAAGGAGTTGTGTCGCTTTCCCAGCAGTGACACCTCTCTGAGGTCTGAATCCACAGCCACTTTTTTGGTTGGTTTCTTCTCAGAAAGCTTCCTGAAAACCTGCTGGAGGGTCAGCTCTGAGTCTGTCATTCTGGCTTAACAGCAATGACTTGCAGTTGTAGTTTACTTTGTCTTACGACTTTTATAGTCTTAAAATTCAAGATCATTATTTTATGGGGTGGTTGTTATGTGCCGTGGAGTTGGAACTAACTCACAGCTAACCCTCCAGTGGACTTTTGGAGGCTGTGAATCACTCAGGATGCAGTTGTCCATCCTTCTCCCTCAGAAAAACTGGTGGAATTGAACTTGCATGGCTTTAGGTTTGCAGTGCAGCTTCCTACCCACTTGGCCACACGTAAACCTTATGCCCACTAAGATGCTATTGTTGTTGTTGTTAAATGCTGTTGAGTCGAGCATGACTCATAGTGACCGTATGAACAAAAGACCTGAACCATGTTCTTTAACTATCATCTTTTCTCTGAAGTCATAAGAGTTTCCAGAGGCATATTGTTTAAGAAGTGGATGCTACTCCTGCTTCCAATACTTTCTTAATCTGGGAACACCACCACTGTCCACCATAGGTAACCATTATAGCATTTGACACACCAGTGGCACAGAGTTCAGCATCACAGCAACCCCAACAATGTTCATCCCAAACACAGTTAACACCAGGTCTGAGGACCCAATCGCCTTTCAAATACAAGGCCTGCCCACTAAGTCCTGGTTACCTTTAATCAAGAGGCTTCCAGCCCACAGCTCATTGTTTGCTAAATCCAGTCAGCTCATATAGGATTGTCAACAAAAAAAAAAACAACCAACCCTAAACCAAAACAAGTGAACCCACCTTCTAGAAGGGGGAGGAAACTACTATGATTGAGGTAATTTTGAATCTATTTTTATCTAATTTTGTTATTTGCCTTACTTCCTTATTGTGTCTTTGGAAGGTGAATCAAGTCTAACTTCCACTGTTTCATATATGTGTTACTTTAAAGACAGATGGTAACCAGTGAGCCCTGGGCTTATGTGGTGGCCCCAAATAAGTCATTGTATGATTTGTAGTGATTTTATATAGGTCCTAAGATATAAGTAGACTATATGCCTTGCTTCTTGCTGACCCAGAAAATCCTTGCATGGATCCTGTATCTTCAGAACTTTGGGACACTTTTTAAACACAGAATGTTTCTTTTTTTTTTCAGTGATTTGCAAACCTATACCCCAAAATCAGCAGATAATCTTTATCACTAAATATATATTTCACAAAATTCTAGGAATTGGCACCCATCCAGAACGTGACACATTACTGAAAGTGATTAGTGTCAGTGTTTCTTGCTTGCCCGTGTGTTTGTCAGGATATCAGATAATTCCCAGTGATGATTTCTTGACTGATTTTGTGCTTCTCTGAAAAGCTGCTAATTCTAAAAGTAGTGACTGTTGGAGAGGTACCTGATGAGGCTAAGCCACTGCTGAGCTTACCTCCTAGGCAAGAATTGAAAGCCTCTCACATCCTCAAAACTACTGAAAACCAGCTAGTGTTTCAAACTTGGTGGAATCTTGCTTAAAACCCAATCTAACTTTAGGAGTCATCTTACAGGAAATCAAAAGTCATTCTTGGTTCAGCCACAGCCAAAAACCTTGCAGAAAATTCTCTGATGAGGTCCTCCAGGTACAACCGAGAAGAAGGTAAGCACATCTGAAAAGCACCTTGGTTCCAACACAGATTGGCTGATTCGTATTCTGGTCTTTCATATATGGACATTTGAAGGAATGTTAATTATATAGTCAAGCTGATTGATGAGCAGATGAAATGCCTAACTATGAATAAAAATGAGGAAATTTACCAGGAAATTAATAGCCCAAAACAAAGCTGGATATTATTTAATTGAGTATTTGAGGACTTCTAAAAAGCAGCTCATTAGTGATCTTTCAACACTGCCCTGGTGGCACATTGGTGAAGCAGAAAGTTGGCAGTTCAAACCCACCGTCCTGCTGTGTGGGAGAAGGATGTGGCAGCCTATGTCAGTAAGACCAGCCTTTGAGGCCCCTCACTGTGGCTGGTCCTGTGCTCCAGCCTCAGAGTCCCCACCCCCACCCTGTGTTCCACGCTCACCAAGGTTTGAAAAGACTCAGTGGCCTGGCAATGTGCTTCATGCCTTGTTATTTACATTTTGAAAAGCATTTCTGTCTCAGTCTGTATGTCTGCTACTACTATGCATAAGATGGGCATAGAATGAAGGCTCTCGCCATGTCTCTGCCACTAGCTGGCAGTGTCTCCTTCCCAGCCCAGCTCCTTCTTCTGTTAATGAAAACAGAAGACTAAGTAGTGTTCTGAGATCCTTTAGACTCTGCCAGCTTGAGACAAGTTGGTTAGCTGACCTTCCTTGTACAGACTATGGTGCCATCCTTACTACCTTTCCTTGTGATCATTCTGTCCCTATATTGTAGCTGGGCTTCTGTATCTGATCTTTTTCTTCCGCAATGTGAACAATCCACTGTGATTTATATGGCTTTGAAAGTGATGTTTTATTGGACATGCATAAACTAGTGGGCCAAATGATAATGAATAAAACCGTAAGCTCTGACTTCCTTCAGATTTGAACAATTAAGAGAAGCATATGGAAGCTAGAGTATAAATTGAAATAAAACCTGAAACCTTTTTCACAGAGAGGTGAGTTGTGGAACATGGCAAATATCAAGAGTAAGACCGCTTATTAATAGTGAGGTTGGCCACATGCAGTCTTTCTGTTGAATGGGATTATTGAGCAGGAGAGGTCACAGCTTCTAATAATGTAGCAGTGAAAGGCTTATCACTTGTCTGTCTTGTTTGGAAAACATGCACACCATTACTTTTGGGGAAACTTACTCAATTCTTAGGACCCCAGGTAATGCAAGGTTGAGTTCTAACCATAAGTTGATGGTTCAGACCCACTTCTGTTCTGCAAGAGAGATGAGGAAGCCCCCTTCCACAGAGACTTGCAGTCCTGGAGCCCCTCTCCTGTCAGGTCCCTGAGAGTCAGAATCCACTTGATGGAAGTGCATTTGGCCCAAGTTGCACACTCAGTTCTTCTTCTGTTTATTATGTGACTCCAGTAAGCATTTGCAGGCAGCTTCTAACAGTGAGATCGTGAGAAACACTTGATATCTTTGCCTTGTTCACTGTGTTTCTGAAGTGGAATGGCTCAGATTCAGTTATGTTTAGATTGCACCCCTGATGCTTTGCACTGACCCCACCCCGCGAAGTGAGCAGCATGGCGGCAGATCACACACAGACTCTCTCTGGACTAGTGTCTAACCTCATGTGTGCTCTCCTGTGACTTGCCCTGACGTCAGCTCTGTGTGCCTGTCTGCCACATGTGTGTCATTCTGACAGCTCCAGTGTGTCCCAGCTGCCTAGCTCGGTGGCTGTCATTGAAAGGGAGAGTTAAGAAGTTGGGCATAGATTTTAGGATCACTGAGTTGTCCTTTCCAGCTTTTGTAGCATAAAGGCTGATGCAGAAACTGGGGCCCTGGTGGAGGGGAGCCAGTTCTCATGGGCATTTATTTTCATGAAGTTTCTGGGCAGAACTCACAACACATCTGCCTGACTGCCACTGGGATTTTATTTACCCTCAAGAGACACTCATCCTCTCATGTCCTTATTCCAAGAAGCATAATCCTTTCATTTACACACCACTATTCTTTTAATGATTTAATTTTGAATTTATGACATTAGCTGCATAGAAACTATAATCCTAAAGAACTGTGGCTGCCTCCTGCCCCCAATGCTCAGTCTTGACTGTTTTGCTTCGGAAGCATCCCTTATTGCCTTTAAGATGTGTGTGCTGTATTAATATTTCCTTTTACACGTCTTGGCTTTGGGGACAGTGGGGGGAAACTCTAGCTAACTGTTGCGTCCTGGCCGTCTCTACTTCACCAGCGCACTTGTTCACTGGTGAAGGTATAGAGTAGAGGGAACCCAATAACATTTTAGCATTTTCTTTCTTCAAAATCCCTTGACTTCCAAGCACATGTAGGAAGTAAAACAAAAGGGATAAAGCATGTTGGCCATTTTCTGGGTACTAGCTTTTCCTTGTGGGACAGTGTAATCTGTTAATTCTTGTGTTTGTAAACTAAGATCATGTTGCATTAAGTAACTCCTTGACTAGCTTTTCCCTCCCCGTTTCTATTTTCACAGCTCCATGGTCTCTGTCAGCTAGCAGAGTCTTTGGTGGAAGAAAGACAGCCCAGCCCTTGCCATGATTGGAAACTACAGCCATTTCTAGATGAAAGGGGGAATAATGTAAAGGAGGAAAAGCTCTTTCTCAAGAGTCACATTGTTTCCTTTCACCCCCACTGTTTCATACAGAGTAATTACAATCAAGTCTGTTTACCTTGTTGCTATGTATTGGAATCAGCTCACTGCATGATCAAAGATGATCCTTTTCCCCCCTCAGAAGATTCAGCAGTCTTTTATTTGGAATATAAAATGAAGTTTTTGTGACAAAATAGTCTGATGTGAAAAAAAAATAAATAAAATAAACATAACTAGAGTGTTAAGAGACAGCAGTGGCAGAGTGAGCCCAGAGTGTTGGAAAAGGCAACACTTGCCTGTGTTTTGCTTTTTGGAGTTTATTTGAATGCTTTTTTTTTAATGCAGTAAACTGATAGACATGAAATTGACCCTATTTATAGCAAAATAAGAAGCCACTTGTATGATCTTGTTCCAAAAAAGTTAGAAAGTTCTGCCTCATTTTTTGATTGGTCTTTTTCAGGCTGGAGTCTGACTTAATGACCTCATCTGAAGCAAAACCACCCCTAAACCTTGCTTTGTTTCCAAAATCACTATTGGGATCAAGGCATAGAGTAATAAAGAATGTAGTTAAATGATGTAAGAATGCATAGTGACGATACCAAATAACTGGAAACTAATAAACAGTAACTACAACAAAAGCCTCATGAATAAGACTTAACCTGAAAATATAAAGATGTCTAGTCCAGGTTACATTATTCAGCGAGATCCAGAATTCAGACTATGATTTCAAACCTTTGGAAGGACATGCTTCCAATTCAGCAACGTCCATCAAACAGAAACCTGCCATTTTCATGTGAAGAACTGATACACACAATAAAGCTCCAAACTATGTTATCCAAAGGATAAGACAATACTTGTTGGCCAATAAAAAAAGGAAGATTGTTATTGTTATGTGCCGTCAGGTTACCTACGACTCAAAGTGAGCCTATGTACAACAGCTCTGAACCCTGCTCTATCTTGAGCCAATCTCATTGTCTTGGACAGACTGAATCCCATTTATCCAGTCACTGAGTCAATCCATCTCACCCAGGCTCTTCCTCTCCTGCACTGTCCCTCTACCCTCCCAAGCATGATGTCCATCTCCAAGGACTGATCCTTCCTTACAACATGCCCAAAGTATGTCAGACAGAGCTTCAGAATTCTTACCTCCAAGGAGCCTCCTGGTTTCACCAGGAAAGAAAAGGAAGATTAGGAACAGGAATTTTCTTTAAACTCAGGAAGACCTTTGGGATGCCAAAGGACAAAGCACAGAATCACGAGAAAAATCTTGGTTTGGCAAGAGAAAGCAGAGATGTTGCTGTCTTCTCTCTGACATGGATTTAGACCTTGTCAGAATTGCCCAAGTAAATCAGAAACTTACACTCAGGGAGACTTCCACCTCCAACCGAGAATGCTTAGAATGAATTAAAATGACTTTGCCAGTTGTTTTCAAATACATATGAAAAACACATCTCAACTTAACAGCCATATCTACGTTCCATAGTTGGATCCTCTTTACTCTGGGTGCTGTGGAATATCTTTATTTGTAAGAATTTGAAAGTACTAAATAAATGTGTTGCTGTTTAGAAGAGTGTATTGCCTGGTTTTTAATCACTGGCCATGTTTATAAGGTTTCTATATTATTTTATTTTAGAAATTTTTAGTGAAAGTAGTTTCAAAAGCTTAAAGACAAGTCAAAGAACTAAAATTTGAAGCTTATGTAAGATTAATTTTAAATATAAGTTGTAGATAAAATGCTAATTTGGAATAATAAGAAAATTTTATAGATTCATTACTAGAATAAGAGGAGAAAAGTGCATAAATTAATTTTTAAAGTATATCTCCAAGGTATCAGAAAATGGTTTACAGAATTGGAATTAATTGTTTTATTGAAATATTAAAAACAAATATATTTCTTAATTGAATTTATTCAAGGTTTGGTTTTCCCCCCCTTAATTACAGTGTTTAGGTATAAAATAGAGTTGTATTAAAAATATTAATCTTAAAAAAATTAATCTTTCCCCCTTCTAGAATACCCTTCTAAAGTAATCCACCTTTATTGTGATTATTTTTTTCTGTATTTTCCTTTTTTTTTTATACAAACACACACACACACACACACACACACGCACACACGTTCTTCTACTTTGTACATCATTCTTTGTCAGTTTGAAGTAATCTGGCTTTGCTGTGATGCTGAACCTTGTATCATTATCATTGGAGTGTCAAATGCCATAATGGTTTCCCATTGTGGACAGTGTTTGGTCGCGCTCCCAGTTGTAAAAGAGATTTGAAAGCAGGAGTGGCATCCACATCCTAAACCACATGCCTATAGAAACTCTATGAACTTGGAGATACGACAATAGCTATGGAAAGGCATTAAGTCTTTATTCGTAGAGTCACTGTGAATCATGCTCAACTCTATGGCAATCAGCAACAACAATATATATATGGTTAGTTTTTCTATTTTCTGTGCAAGTGGCATAATAATTTACATAATACTTGTCCCCTTTGTTTTTTACTAAGATACACACACACACACACATATATATATGTATGTATATATATATATATATATATATATGTATATATATATATGAAATCTAACTCATTTTAATAGCTGCATAGTGCTCCAGAGGAGTGTCACATTACTACCAAAAGAACAGATAGGTCTTGGCAAAGTGTAGCTAGATTTCTCCTTGGAGGCAAGGTTGATGAAGCTTCATCTTATATACTTTGGGCATATTGCTAGGAGAGGCTGTTCCTTGGAAAGAGATGCCATGCTTGGCAAGATAGAGGGTCAGCAAAAGAGAGAAAGACCTCAGTGAGATGATTGACACAGTGACTGCAGCAATAGGCTCAAGTGTGTCAGAGGGATGAGGATGCTTCAGGAGAGGACACGCTTCAGATCTGTTGTTCATAGAGTTACTATGGGTCATTCTTGATATGAAGGCACCCTACAACAAGAGTGTTCAAATACTGTCTTATTGATAGGTATCAAGATTATATTCTCTAGATATTTTCCCTCCTCTACAAGTAATATCTATTATTATTATTGTATTATTGTTTTTAATTTTAATGAAAATTTACAGAGACTTTTCCCCATTCATTCATTGTTGCACTTTTCTCTCTGCCCACCTTCCCCCAGCCCCCAGTTCGCTCTTCTCTTTGAAAAGTGAAAGAAAAATTCTTTCATGTTGTACAATCCCTCCCCCAAAGTCCACTCCACTATGCAGCCTTTTTCTGGACACCTGTACAAGTAAAATCTTAATAAAAATCCTAGTTCATGTTGCTTATATAGTGATACATTTAGTGGCATCCATGTACTAAATAACATGCCTCCAGAAACTCTATGAACTTTGATAAACGTCGACAGTTGTAGAAGAGTCAGGCCTTTTGTTTATAGGCTCGCTGTGAGTCGTGCTTGACACAAAGGCAATCAACAACAACGACATTTGTTTGATTATAGGATAAGGTCATGAACATATGATTCCTGCATTCCATAGTATGTATAAATATATCTTAATAGCTGTTACTTGATGACTTACCTTAGTTGTGGCATTTTATTCTTGATCACTGTTGGATGCACGCACTCATTTCTACATAGCATTAGCAGCTGTGAGAGTTTTAATCTAACTTTTTGACCATTTGTTGTGAGATGCCATCAAGTCAGCTCTGACTTGTAGTGACCTGTGTACAATAGAACAAAACCCTGCCCAATCGTGCCCCCTCCTCACAGTCTTTACTGTGCAGCCCATGGCTGCAGTGGCTGCATCAGTCCATCTCAGGAGGGTCTTCCTCTCCTTTGCTCACCCTTTACTTTTCCAAACATGATGTCCTTTTCCAAGGACTAGTTTCTCCTGACAACATGTTCACAGTATGAGCATTGCCTCACACTGTTGTCTCTGAGGAGCACTCCCAGCTGCTCTGCTCTCCAGTGTTTGGTTTATGACAGTCTAATGGATATTTTATACTCTTCACCAGCGCATCACAATTCATTCTTTTTTTTTTTCACAATTCATTCTTCTGTGGTCTTCTCTAGTCATTATCCAACTTTCACATACATGTGAAACATTTGAAATTACCGTGGCTTGGGCAAATCAGCTCTCAAGGGTCTCTTAAAGGTAATAAAAGAGCAAGCATGTCAGTTTTGGGGGGGACGTGTATGTGGTTTTTCCTAATGAATGCAGCATGTCAGTTTGAAGAATGCCTGATCCAAGCCATGGTATTTTCTATTTCTTCGTATGCATGCTGAAGTTGGACAATGAGTAAGGAAGCTAAAAGAATTGATGTCTTTGAATTGTGATATTGGAGAAGAACGTTGAATATGTTGTGAACTGCCAAAAGAACAAACAAATCTGTCTTGGAGGAAGTGCAGCCAAGGGCAAAGATATATTGCACATGTCAGGAGGAGTCAGTCCTTGGGGAAAGGACTTCATGGTGGTAAAATGCAGAGGATCAGTGAAAGAGAGGAAGACCCTCAATGTGATGCACTGTCACAATGACAGCCACAGAAAACTAGTGGAAACCTGAGAGTGGCACAGGATAGGGGAGTAGAGTGGCTATCCTGAGGGTAGCACAGGATAGGGGAGCAGGGTGGAAACCTGAGGGTGGCACCAGGATAGGGGAGCAGGGTGGGAAGCCTGAGGGTGGCACAGGATAGGGCAAGGCTTTGATCTGTTGTTTACACAGTTACTGTGAGTCATTGAAACTCAATAGCACCTCACAACAACATGTTTGTCACAATATCTCATGGGTCTTTTGACATTATCATCTGTTAGCCTTATGGAAAATTTTGTATTATTATCCAGTTTAATCTGTTTTTCCTTTATGCCTTCTGAGTTTTCTGGTTTTGTTTAACATCTCACCTCAATTTTATACAAGTAAATTCTTGTATTTTATTCATACTTTCTCATTCAACCCACATACTCAGATATTTGATATTTTTCAGTCTCATGGTATGTATAGATTTTTTTTCTCCCATACTAATAGGTATTCATACCGATACCATTGATTGCCTACTGAATTGAAATACCACCTGTCCAAATTCACTGATAGTCAGAGAAATCTCCCCAAATATACCCACATCTCTTTTTCTCTCTTCGTTTCACACTAAAATATATTCGTAGTTTATTAAAGAGTGTTTATTATTTTTTAGTCCTTTTAGTGGGTTTTTTAAATAAATTTTTTATTTTTATTTATTTTTTTTAATTTCAATGAACATCTACAGAAATTTTGGAATTCCATTCATTCATTGTTGCACTTTTCTCCCCGTCCACTCCCCACCCCCGTTCGCTCCTCTCCTTGAAAAGCAAAAGAAAAACTCCTTCATTGGTACACAATCCGCCCTGCACACCCCCCCACCCCCACCCCAAATATAATCCACTCTGCAAACCTCAACTTAGCCTTTTAAATTTCAAATTGTCATTTTTTGTATGCTCGCATTTTCTAGAATTTTATTGCATGCTCAAGGTACATGCAACAAAGACTTAATTCTGTGTCCTGTTAAAACTTAAAAAAAATTCTCTCTTGAATGTAGTAATGCTTTATAAGTTTTATCTGTGTATCCCCTACTACTTTTCTTTAAAAATAAATTAAAATTATAAGTGTATTAAGACCTAATATTGTCCCAAGATCAGTGTCTGTAGATTATGAACAGATCCTCTCACTTTGCCTGACTACTCTTAGAATCTTCTCAGATCTCAAATTAGGGAAGGCTCTGTCAAGTAAATCTGTTATGTCTCCAGAGACGGAGAAGTTCACACAGGGCGCAGAGTCATTAGCTGCCTAATAGGGGATCCGTCTGTGTCCAGAGTCTTCGTTGTCTGCTGGCACTGACTGATAACTGACTGATAACTTCGTTGTCTGCTGGCACTGACTCTCTGTGTCAGGTCTTGTTTGGCTCGTTTTCCTTCTGTAGCACATGTGAGGCTTTTTCTGCTCTCAGGAAATTTTTATCCTGACAATTTATCCTTTTGTCTGGAATAAATCATATCCTAACTGTCCTAGGCCAAAGCTGAGTGCCATTGAGGTGACTCTGACTTGTGCTGATATCCGTGTGTCAAAGGACCCCTCAGTGCTTTCAGAGACTGAGTTTTTTTAAAAAAGTACTTCTAGGTGGACTCAAACCACCTACCTTTTGTTTAGCAAGCAGTAGCATTAGCTGCAGCCCATCATAACTTCATGCCGGGATCCTTTGCAGCTGAAGATTTTGCACATCTCTGTGTTTCTCATGTGTCTCTCCATCCCGATTATCTATCTACTGTAGGGGACATTACTAGGATTTTCTCGTATCCTTCATCATCATTGTTTGTAGAAAGAATCTGGCTATGAGCTCTTGGTATTTTCCTTTTTTTTTTTTCCTTCCATGCTGTGTAACAGAGGCTCTTCAAAGGCTAAGGCGTGTAGATTTTATCCTTTTCTTGTTTTCTGTATGCAAACAAGATTTTCAGTACACATTTCTTGGTTATTTTCTTTGGGATTTGGAAATTAAGATACTTATGTTCAAGTTGTCACTATAACCTGTGTGTCTGTATTATTGCCTGTATTGTTAGAAGAAATTCAGAGGATAATTCTTAACACCCGAGAGAGAGGATATTTTCCAAATTCCTAGAGTAGCACATTAATTCATCCATGTTGTGCATAAGAATAAAGAATATTTTGAGAAATTTGCATTCGAGGTAAAAGAATGAACAAATCCAAGGAGGCTAGAACAGGAAAAGGGAAAAATTTGAGATTTCGAGGTTGGTCCAAAAGCCAAATGTATAGAAGGGGGCCATAGGAAACACCTGAGTTCCCCTGGAAAAGACACTGGTAATTTTAAGCAAATTATTGATGTGACTTTATAAATATTAATCTACTAATTGGGGAGCTCTGGTGGCCTATAGCATAGGGAGTTGCACCACTAACCCAAAGGCCACGCCTCCCTGGTGGTTCAGGTCCACCAGCAGCTCCGTAGGAGAAAGATGAGCAGTTTTTCCCAGCGTGATTTACAGCCTCAGAGAGCCAGAGGAGGATCAGCCAGGAGTCAGTTCCTGTTTGATGGCAGGGAATTCAAGTTCAAGCTGTCCGGTTCCAGCTTACAGCAACCCTCCAATATGTCTGTGAGGCTGTCAATCTTAAAAGGGAGGGACCATCCATCTTTCTCCTGTGGAACCACCAGGGTTGCAAACTGCTGGAGACTCTGCGCCTTTTAATTAATAGGAGTGTAACTTGCTACAGACTATGCCACCAGAACCCAAGCACTGGTGTGATGTAGTGTTGCCACACGTACTGAAAAGTTAGTGTTTCACGCTGAGCAAGGGGCACCTTAGAAGAAAAGCCTGGCAGTCTACTTCTGAAACAAAAGCAGCCACTGAGAATGCTGTGGAACAGGAATTCTGGGGCGAGCTCTGGTGGCCTAGTGGCAAGAAGCTGCACTGCAATCCTAGAGGTGTGCAGTTCAAATCCACCAGATGCTCTGCTGAAGGAGGGACAATCTCCTCCTGTACCGGTCAGATCTGATTTGACGGTACACACACAAAAGATAATTTAAAAAAAAAAAAAAGACTAATTCTGGCACCCAGGGGACTGACAGCAGTCACAGTCGACTCAATGTCAATTGATTTGATGTAGGGGTTTTCATGAACATTTGAGTACATGTGCTTGGATCTCAATAAAGTGATGGCATGGATAAAGTAGGTAATGTGGAAATGTTCACATGTGAAGAATCTATTACTGAACAAGGATAGCAATGAACCCTAGACATGAAACAAAGTTTTAATAGAACAAAGAATTTCAGGCATGCATGCATGAGCACGTTTGAGTTATAAGACCACAGACATGCAGCTGGACCTGCTCTGGCGCTACAGCGTTTCTCCTGACCACACTGTTTCACTCGGATGTGAGCTGCCACTTCTGAAAAGCAGGATTT